TAAAATATAAATATATATATATATATATTATAAAAAAGATCAGATTAATTAATTAATCAAAAGAATCATAATACTATCGATTTTATTATATAGTTCTATTGCCTTTTATAGAATCGTCTCCTGCTAGAGGTAAAAAGAGAAAACATGAAGACGGCGGAGATTCAGGGAATTAGAACCATAAAGAGCAGGCTTCTGATACTGTTGAATGAGTGTAAAATTCATATAAATAATAATAATTGAGATGCAGAGTGACCATCTGGGAATCAAATTAATTGACCGACCAATGACAGACTACAGTTAGTGGTGTGAATATATCATTAAATCATTGACTGACAAATTGTCTGTGGGATAACAAAAAAATACCATTGAAGAGGAATGTGAATGAAAATGAAAAAGAGGATAATGATGGCATAAAATAGGACTGCATTCCAGCTGGACACAGCGCGTTTTAGTTATACTAACGATATTTTATATAGAGTATATAGTTAGAATATTAGTGGTGTTGCATAGTGGGTGAAAGATCAGATATTGAAAGACTCGGAAAAAAGCAACAGTGAAGTTTTACACTTGAAGGAGCATATTTGTCTGTTAGCTCCAGTCGGCCAAAGGCTGGTCACGCTGGAATGCAGTCATCGTTAATCAGTACTAAGGTTACATAAGTTACATTTTAAATACATTATTATTGTACCATGAATAAGTATAGAGTAAATGAGGAACAACTTTTGTACAGGTTTACACCATACATTGAGGTGCATTACGCCTCTGTGATTTTTGGGACAGAAAATAAAGAGATAAATATATGTTGCTCATACATTGAGCTTATATCTATGAAAGATGTATTAAGATAGGAATTTACATCATAAGAATGAAAAAATAAAAGAAGTTTCGTTTGTTAGAATAATAGTATTTGAAATGTATAATTGATATATAAAAAAAAAAAAAACAAATCAGTTTAACACATAAAAAGTATTTTAGTATTTTCAATTTCATTATTTTGATATAAGTTAAAAAGTTTTGATATTTCAAGAAATCTTGAACGAAACTGCGAAATAATATAAGAATACACAATTGATATTGTGGTATTTTTTGTAATTTTTAATAAATTTTAAGTTCCAGATGTTTGTGTATAATGGCAATATACCATGCATAACATGGCTGTTAAGATTACTGTTATTTACTTTTGGGCATTCCATATTTTACGTGTTATGCTCTATAATATAACAAATTCATTTGATTAATAAAATTATTGTAATATTTTCCTGTACCAAATTATAAATATTCAGCTATAACAGTTAGATGTTTTTATATCACTAAATCGTACGATTTTATACGATAACAATAGAATACTTGTTGCATTTGTATCGTTTATACATAACAACAAGTTTAAATATTTGGAACATAATATTAAATAAAAAGAAAAAAAATCAAAATTGCTATAAATCATAATTACCTTTAATTTCTGTCTCTGAAGTTACCATAGCGCTGACACATCTCGTGATGATTGAAGTGCGAAGTTAATGGATAATGATCATTAATATTATTATTAATATTAAATTACAATTATGATTTGAAAAAACAAATATTTACACTTGCGCTTTCGCACTTTTGAATTATATTTAAAAAAAAGTCAGAAACGCAAAATTTAGATTAGAATGGAAAGACAAAATCTCGAGAAATAGGCGCAAAAGTAAAAGATGGATCAGTCAATGTAGTTAATGGTGAGACTGTGGTAAATGGTTACTGGACGGACTACCAATTAACTACGTGATCGTGAGAATGGATGGGAGTGAAATAGCGAGTGAGAGTGCAAGAGAGGATCGGTTTTATAAGAAAAAAATTATGGTAGAGTCGAGGATCTGGCGCCTCTTTGTCGCCAGTTTGGTTATGGCCTTATCCAATTTTTCCAAGACTAAAGCAAATTTATATTAGGTACAATGAGTATATGACATGTACAGGTCCAAATCTGTAAATTTCCAATCTGCAATTTGTAATTGCGGCTCGCGCGGATGTCATATTAAAAGTTAAATTATAAATAATTAAAAAATTAAATTATAAATAATTAAACATTCCGCGCGTCCCGCGACACATACACTTTTGTCAATTGCAATTTTGGATAGACCATTTATGTAAGGGAATCTATCACCTTCTATTATCAGAACTATTACATCTCTGTATTGTCTGTCTGTTCCGTTGTTAAAGTGGATTTTTATCATAACGTTTGTTTATTTCGAACAATCCTCATCAAAATAAGAAAAAATAATTTATTAATAAAATCATTTACAAATCAAGGATTATGTGTGATTGATATTATTAATCCTTTTTTTTCACTTTTTAATATTATATTTATTAATATTAATATTTATATATATATATGAAATTATTATATTCATGATTTTAATTATAATTTTTAATATTCTACAAACTAAAAAATTCTATTAAGTATATTTTGTTTTATACAAACTAATGTTTTATGATCTAAATCATTTAAAATTCATAATTACTTATAATTAGTAATTGAATAATCTAAGTAATTTGATTATATGAATATTAAAAGTATTCGTACTTAATTCGTAATTAATTTCAACAAAAATATCGACAAAATTTCATTTATTAACATAATTTCAATAAATAAATATATATTCTTGTAGAAATTATAAATATTATAAATTTAATTTAAAATTATAAATATTATAAATATTTATCTATATTTATTATAAATATTATAAATATAGAATAATTTGCAAAAAGAAAAATGTGAAATATACATACACATGTATATATATATATATATGTGTGTGTGTGTGTATAATATTAATTAACAATATACTTGATATACTTAATAAGTATTTAAAAAATGGCACAAATATATGCACAATTATTCATATAGTCATACTTCATTAAATATTCATAAATATTATAATTTGAAAATATAAAAAAAATATAAACTTATTTAATAATATAACAATAAAATAAAAATAAAATACATAAGTATGTAATAAAATTTTATAGTTTAGTTTATTTAGATGAAAATAAATTTGAGATATTTTAATGTTACAATACTTATATTATTATAATATTTTGAAACATTGTTTTATTCAATCGTATTTGTAAATTGTAATATTAATAATTTCTTGTTTAATCTTCTTATTTATGTAATATCTTTTATAAATTATTTTACTATGATATATTTGATTTAATACAAAATGGCATATAATACTAGTTAATAGATAGTTTATTTCTTAATATTCAAATTATTTTTGAATTATTTTTATTAATGGAGAAATAATAAAATTACTATGTTTACTAATTTTTTATTCTTATTATTTATTATTTATTATTATTATTATTTATTAAGATTTATTATTTATTAAGCATTATTATTTATTAAGATTTTTGATAATTCATGATTATCTCATTTTACATCTCTTTATAACATGTGATATTTTAAATAAATTTTTGTTTTCATGTTCATGTTCAAATTATAATATTTATATCATATATTAATGAAAGATGATTATACAAAATAATTATATATTTACTAATTATATATTTTTATTATTTTATATTATATATATGATTATATAAATTATATTTAATAATAAAAATAAAATATATATAT